CAAGAGTAATGACTCCTCTACCAGCAAATGCCATTATTGCAAAGATGAAAATGCACACTGAAGAAGAAACAAAAAAATATATAATGCTCACACCACTTTGCACTCAACTGTGACTGAGAAAAAACAATTATTGCAACCTTCTTGACTTACCCAGCAATCAGGTGTAAGGTCACTATTCAGGCTGCAGAGTCTGAAGAAGAGAAAATTGATGCAGGTCAATCAAAAGATCAGAAATCAATTTCAGGTGCAGTCTATGCCATTTGGAAAAGGGAAAGCCTGCTGGGATTTTACAAAGGAATAGCTGCTCAGATCCTAAAGACCGTGCTTAGCTCAGCCTTGCATTTAATGATAAAGGAGAAGATCTCAAAAACCACATGGGATCTAATGCTTGCACTCAGGAGGTTTCTATTAATGACCCCTACCAGATTAAAGGGAGTTTGATGACAAATATAATCCAGTAAAAGAAAAAAAAAAAAAAAAAAAAAAAAAAAAGAGAGGCTCTAGCATTTCTCTAGGGAAAATCTAGCAACTGCCACAATCATTGATGAGCACTGCAAGCCAAATTCTGCTTCTTGTGAAGGAAGTTCTGATGATTTAGGCTTGTGTAAACGTTGCAGTAAATTCTTTTACATGTCCTGGACTGCTAGGTAATAAATATGAAAAGTATTTCATGTATTTCTTGGGTATGTTCTCATTGTTGCACTCATTTTAGCATAAAACGTGCATAATCTTGAGTTCTATAATGAAGCAAATTTCTAGCATTGCGACCACATACTATCACGAAGCCAGCAAGCATGATGCAGTCAATAAGAGGACTAAATTAAGGAGGTTAATGAGCTCCTAAGGCAGTCAAATTAAGGACTAAATTTTGCTGAAACTGCATCTTCAAGATTAATGTATTAGATATCAGTAAACAAATTTTTTTTGCATTACAAATACATCAACAGCTCAGTCACCAATTCCTGAGCTTTTAAAAAATGCTTATGGTTTATCCTACTTATGTACTTAGTTGGGGGAATCTGACTACTTATTGGCAAGATCAATCACTTAAATTTTTCAGTGGAATACATAGGTAATTTATAATTAAATAGTACTGTTATAAAATAGAGATAAATATTGCTCTTTGATGTATGCTTACAATAAAATGGAATGGTAATTAGCTCCTCTTTGTTCAATGAATCACACTGCAATTTTGCAAAGGCCCTATGTTACTTCTAGACCATTTAATATTTAGCAGATGCATTGATTTTATCTTAACAGATTATTTTTACAGCATGAAATAGGACGTAGAAGTGGAGGAGATTATTTTTTCAGGATGAAATAGGACATAGAAGTGGAGGAAATAATGTACTTGAAAGGGTGGGTTATGCTGTTTCTGCAGGGATTTCATTGGGTCTTGTTGCATTAGGTATGAGCTGTTGAAAAGAGCTATATTATCCATGTAATTAACTTTTCCCTTATCTAACCATTTGTTTAACTAAATGGTGAACACTTGACTAAAAAAATGCAATGCAGAAGTGTCTCTTATAATTAAATAATATAAATATCAAACTTACATATCTTTTGAACCATTGCTCAAATTCAGCATCATGTTGATATCCCACATTATTCTTTCTCTGGACCTCAAATTCTTGTTTGTGCAACCTTTCAAGGGAAAAAAATAAAAATATTAATAAATTATCTACCATTAACAAATATAATAAATATAAAAAAATAATTTTAAACTTAAATACTTACTCCATCAAATGAGAGATATCTTCACAATTGCGAAGCACATAACTTCGAGCTTGCTGCCATTCTATCAAGCTTAACCTTTCGTATTTATTCCCTCGTAACGATCGACCAACACGTTTAAATATATTAAACTTATAAGTAACTGATTCATCATTCCCCTCATAATTTCTCCCAACACGATTCAATTTTGTTTCAACATCTTGCAGATATAATGAGCAAAATGTTACTGCTTCTTGTGCAATATAAAGCTCAGCAATTGATCCTTCAGGATTAGCTTTATTCTTAACATATGATTTCAATCTACGTAGGAATCTCTCAACAAAGTACATCCACCTAAAAGTTACTGGACCGGCAACTATGGCTTGTCTAGCCAAATGTATGGTTAAATGAACCATTACATCAAAAAATGAAGGAGGAAAAACTTTCTCTAACTTGCAAAGAGTTAAGACTATCGACTCATTGAGCACTTCCATGTCTTCAGCACGTAACTTCTTAGCACACAACTTCCTAAAAAAAGCACTCAACTCTATTAATGGCTCACAAACTTCTGTCTTTAACACCCCACGTATTGCTAATGGAAGGAAGCGTTGCAAAAAAATATGACAATCATGACATTTCATCGCAGCTAAATTGCATCCATTCTCATTAACATACCGAGAAATATTAGAAGAATAACCATCAGGAACCTTTATGGCACTTATGAAACTACACAAAACCTTTTTTTCCTTTGTTGATAATGTGTGGCATGCAGTTTTATAACGGAACGTGTTACCATTTACCCATTCTGCATGGAGTTCAGATCGAATACCCATTAACTCTAAATCAAAACGGGTATCGATAGTATCTTTCGTCTTTCCTTTAACATCCATCAAAGTTCCAAACACACTAACAAATACATTCCTAGCAATATGCATCACATCCAGGTTATGTCGTATCATAAGGGTTTTCCAATATGATAATTTAAAAAATATACTTTTCTTCCTCCAACAACCAGGTAATTCTCCATCTCCTCTTTTTCTTTTTTTAGACTTGCCAAATGTTACCTAATCAAATAAGCAATTTATGACATTAACATAAATAAATAATGAAATAAAATATTAATAGCAATAATTATCTCTTCAGATAAATGAAAAAAGATTAATGCAATAAGAGACTATAATGGCAAAACCATCGACAAGGAAACATTTTTTCAGCATTTGGGACTATTGAGATAAATTAGATGCTGCACCAAAAAAAAAAAAAGAAAGGATAGATATCTATTGAACATACCTGATCAAAGAGTTTGTATTTTTCAACAATATCTTCTCCTGTCAATTCCTTAGGTGCAGCATGATGTTCTTGCTTTCCATCAAAAGCCTTAGCATCATTACGCCAAGGATGGTTGGAAGAAAGAAAACGACGATGACCCATATAACAATGTTTGTGTCCATTTGGAAGCCATAGTGAACAGGTATCATCATTGCAAATGAGACATGCATATTTACCTTTGGTACTTTGTCCTGACAACACTGCTAAACCTGGATAATCGCCGATCGTCCATATCAAAGCAACTCTCAACTTAAAGTTAGATTTCGAAGCTGCATCATAAGTTTCCACTCCATTTTCCCATAAGTCCTTTAATTCATCTATCAATGGTTGGAGATACACATCTATGTCATTGCCTGGTGCTTTTGGACCAGGGATAAGCATAGACAACATGAAATAAGGATCCTTCATACACATCCAAGGTGGTAAGTTGTAATTCACTAAAACAATCGGCCACACACTGTAAGATGTACTCATGTTCCCAAAAGGATTAAAACCGTCACTAGCCAATCCGAGTCGAATGTTCCGTGGATCTGTAGCAAAGGATGGGTGCTGGGAGTCAAAATTTTTCCAAGCATGTGAATCTGCTGGATGCCTCATGTACTCATCACTAGGACATTTTTCTTTGTGCCATTTCATCTCTGAAGCAATCTTCGGTGACATGTACAGCCTCTTGACTCTATCTTTAAGAGGAAAGTAACGCAAAATTTTACATGCTATTTGTTTTCCTGTAACTTGTTTCTCACTATTTTTCCACCTACAAGCACCACATACTAGACAAGAGTCCAAATCCTTATAAATCCCACGGTATAGAATGCAATCATTCAGGCAAGCATCAATCTTCTCATATTTTAATCCCAACTTTTCAAATATTTTTTTTGCTTCATAGTATGAAGGAGGGACCTTATTACCTTTTGGTAGGACTTTTGCAATCAAATCCAGTATTGCATCCATTGCTTTGCAACTCAAACCATAAAGGCACTTAACATTCATAAGTTCTGCTATGAAAGATAGTCTGGAAAAGTTTGGACAATTAGGATATAGCTCCTGTTCTGCCTCTCCTAAAAGCCTATAGAAATCTGCAGCTTCCTTATTTGGATTACTTGCACTAGATCCAACACATTCTTCTGGTCCTTCATTGATTTTATAACCACACCCAAGATCATGTAACATTTCTTGCATTGCATCCAATTTATGCATACAATTTCCACCCTCTTCATTAGATTCAAAAAATGACTCCCCATGATGATACCATCGCTTATATGTTGGATTAAAGCCAAAGACAATTAGGTCGTCATACATCTCTTTCTTAATTAGAAATTTTCTGTTGTCACAATAGTTACATGGACAACGGAGTTTTTTTCCCTTGAGGCTGACCACGAAAAGTAAATTCAAGAAAACAAGTGATTCCTTCATCATATCTATTGTCTGTTCGGTCAATATCAATCCAACTTTTATCCATCCTAAAAATTTCAAATATTACATTTTAGTCTCAAAACCCAAGAATCTAATTCTCTAATAATAAATTCAAAACAAGTTTAAATATTCACAAAATTCAGCCAAACTACTAGAATATGTATACTAACCCCTTTAGTTAGGCAGCTTGCAATGTTTATGTGGTATCCGATTATAGTATTGGAGGTTTCTTGTCAACCTACAAAATCAAGCATGATAAATAGTAATATCAGTTTACAGTTTAATATGTATTTAAGTAAAATTAAGTGACAAATTAACTTAAAAAACAAATCAAGCAAAGAAATAGCCAAGTCACCAGAACAAGCAAAACAAGTTCATAGGTAAGAGAGAAGGTTCAGGATCTAGAAGGAGGAAAAGGACCAGTTGTGAAAAAAAAAGGGGTGAACCAAAGGAATTTCAAAGAAATTTTTAAGGAAATATGTATAAAGAACAAAGGCAACCCTTTTCTCCTTGCACCTATTGTCAGAAAAACAAATATTCTTCAAACTATTTCTAGTCTAAGCCAAACACTTAAAGACCAGGAGGGCAAAAGCAGGGGATATAGTGTAGGGATTGTAAGCCGTTGCTCATATTGCCAACAACTACAAGTCCAAGGCAAGGATCATCACAAAAGGCAAACATTGTAGAGAATCTTGAACAGCAAGAGGAGAAGTTGTTTATGGCTACAAGGGTTATATCATGGCTTTTCTCCTTTGATCTTTTGCACCTCAGGTATGAGTAGTGAACTAATTCAAACTAAACTCTTCTTCAAGTGTATTCAATAACATCTTCAAAAATACATCTACTTATATTAAGAAAAGGTTAAAATTCAATTCAAAGAGCCAAAAAATTTAGAAGGAAGAGTGATAAAAATGGGTAATGTTTTCCTATTAATTTGGTGTCAGACCAATGTGCTGTTATTAAAGATCACAGCACAGGGGATTGAAAACATTGCGGAATCATCACAAAAATCCATGAATCAGCACATGTGGGTAATCTTGATTTTGTTATTATTCATTCTCTGCAATGTTTTCCTATTAATTTTGATTTCGTTATTATTCATCTACTATACCAGAATCATCACAAAAGGCAAAAATTGCAGAGAATTTGTCAGGATTTGAAGTTGGTGATATTGAAGCTATGACAGCAAGTTTGCACATACTTGTATTTTTTGAAGAAATGAAGATTTAAAGAACTAAACTTCACCTAAACTTCATGAAACTGATTTAGTTCAGTTTATTCCAGGTTTCTATATAACATAACAAATAATACACATAACCAAGCTCGGAATCTTGCAGTCAATGAACATCACATCAAAATTGGATCAATGAACACGAATTTGCAGAGTTAAAAGCATAAAGAAGCAATGTAAAATAATGTAAAAAAACAAGCAAAAGTACCTGAAATTGGCAGAAAGATCCCACTTAGTTTGCAGTGGATTTGGTTACAAATGGCAAGATTTCCTCGTAACCGACTCAAGCTGAAATGGAGAAACAGAACGGAGGCAATCCTTTTTAGTTACTACTCTAGAACAACTGACTTCCCAAAACCCAGATCTCCTTGTCAGATTTTTGGCGCTTCGGAAAAAGGAAAAAAAGCTTCGCAAGATTTGTAGAAATTTAGGGTTTGGTATGAACCCTAAGTAACCACAGCCCACTCCAACTCTAACTGCGCCCCTATTCTTAAACACGACGGCGTTTGGGAGCTGGTTTGTGCTTCAGTCCATAAGTTTAATTCGCTCGTCGATATAATCCTAATATGGACCCCATTTACTTAGTTTACAATGGGGAAATTGCAAATAGGACCAAAAACCCGACACGGGTTATGTGTCGACACCTACTTTTTGCTGAATTTTTGGTGTCGACACTACGCATTAAGAATTTTTACACAGATTTAAAAATTTTTTATAAATGTAACCTTTTTTTTTTGTTTAATTAAGATTTTCATTATTCATAAAAATAATCATTCAATATCACTTCTTTCTATAGACAAAGGGAGATTTGAGAACAATGAAATCAACATTATAATAAGAATAATGTTTGAAATTTTATATTGTTAAAAAAATTTAAATACAAGAAAAAAGAATAATTAAGATGTCTTTATATTAAAATTATCAAAAATTTTATTAATAATCAAATGATAATGTTAATAAAATTAAGATCTATATCATTTCTATATATTTAATAAATATAATTAGTTATTTTGACTTTTTAATAATTAGATGTCTTAATTTTTTTTAAATAAAATAAAATTAATTTAATATAAATTCATTTCTTTTATTTATTTATTTATTTTGTTTTCAAGACATATTATTTGAACAGCATGCAATTCAAAGATACTCAAGATTGATTAAAAAAAAAAACAAAACAAAACAAAACAAAACATTTCAATGATACTCAAGTTTACACCTACAGATATGCTGTAAGTGCATTATATACTGATAGATATAGCGGTAGAGTAAAAGAAACTTCTTATTACAAATCCATCAAACTAAAATAAAAACATATAATTTTAGATGAGTTCGTTTGAACTTCATGAAGAAATTATCTCATCAACTTCATCAAAGAAAGTCTTCAACTCAACCATAAGTTCATCAAAATAGGCAACTTTAGCCAAGTCCACTTGGTGTTGAGAGTTAGGTATACTGCATCTACATCCATTGTTTGTAGGAGGCATTTTATCTGTATATAAGCAAAACAAAGATTCAATGCAATTGATATAAAGGAAATATATGTATGAACTTAATAAGGGAAAAAAAACACAAGATACAAGCTATAAAATAACATGGTAACATGGGTTATATCAATATATGAAATAGATTATATAACTGTTTTATTAATAGTAATGCACATGGGTTAAAATTTGTTTTTGGGCTTAAAGAAAAAAAAAAGTCTGCTTACCTGATTCAGTCCTACACATATGAGCATTCTCGTATCTCATAGATTCAATATCTGATTCTATAATCAATCAAGAACAATATTTTAATAAAAAATATATAATATATGAGTTGTAAATCAACATAACAAAGTGAAAAATGAAGTTGGTTGGAAAACAACATAACAAAGTGAAAAATGAAGTTGGTTTACTTGCTCCACCACGAGACATCTGAGTATCCCCATCTTTTCTAACTCCAATCTCTAAATACATCGGACATAGTATTGGGATCATCTATGTATTTGAAAAAAAATAGAGTTACATGTTAAACTAAAAATCATTAATTATAATATGAAGACAAATGAAATATTGGTAAAGACAATCTTACCGCATTGAGTGCACCTCTTTTTGCCCTTTCAAATATTGCGCGTTCTAAATAGAAACAAAGACAATTTAAACAAAAATTCAATTAATCAAATCATTTATTCCAATTTTTTCTAATTATATATATATACATATTATATATATAGAAAGTTTACCCTTAATTCTTTCTTCATCTGTACCACCAATATCTTATGGAAGTGTAAAACTCTGAAAGTCACATGAGTCATCATGGGAGGCACCTAAGCCATTCAACCGACCATCAAAAAAGTTATTCAATTGTCCGTGATGTTCTTCGTCAAAATGAAGGCGACGACGCACTG